ACTTCCTGAAATTACATGCCTCAACCGTTCAACAAAAAATGCTCGTGTACTTCCAAAGAATGCATTATCTGATCATTTGACCTATCAAACAAACTGTTTCGCTTACATACGTAATTTGGATATAATTTTCCTGCATTATATTGTAATTTTAATATTAGATGATGTGTGTTTATGTAAAAAGTAAGGGATTGAAAGTAAGGGCTTATTAGCTTTATAAAATATAATTTTTTATTAGCTTCATACATTTTACCAACAGTCACTGATAGTACGGAACAATGGCAGCAACCTTTGCTATCGTGCTGGATTTCCGGTTTTGCAAGTGAAACAAAAAAGCCCGTTACGATTTCGATGGTACCAAGGAGTGGAAGCCAGTAATAGCTGTTTTTGCACAAATTTAGCAAAGACTTTGACAATTTTCTCAAAAAAATGGTTGCTGTTGACATGTGTTACCATCAACCTACTTCTAATTGCCTTCGCATTACATACAGAGCAGATAAAGAGGGAGTTTTGACTTTGAATTCACTGGCTATGTTACAGGAAAAAGAACCACTGTATTCTAGCTGAAAGAACCGAGACTGGCCACCAGGACTGTCAGGAAATATCCTCTTAAAATTTCAGCTTTCTAGCTTTTCTGGTTCCCGAGTTAGTAAGTTAACAGCCAAATTTTCTCGAGTAGAACTACGCAGGCCTGGAGGATGACTCTGAACTCATTTGATTGTACGTGGACAAGGAACATCCCCTTAAAGAGTCAACTCTTTTCAGTTTCCCGAATTAGCAACTTACCCGCAAAAAACTTTCACGGACCAATACGTGGGAACCTGCACATCTGGGGTTGGGTTAAACTTCAGTAATTCTTGTAATTTCGTACTAAAGAATGCTAAAATACCCAAATTCTAACCGTATGGTGTGCCAGCGCCAAATTCATTGCCCGCTTCGTTCATTGCTTGTGCCAAATGTTCCAAATTATTAAGACGGGTATTTTCCTTGCGCAACTCCAATTTCTCATAGAATACTTCCTCCATACGTAATGCTGGGAAAAAGAAAACAAACCTGAGATGTGTTCGTAAACGATAAAATATCTCACCAAATAGGATTAGTAACGTTCAAGACTAGGCCGCACTGATCATAGCCAGATCCAGGGCGGTTTCTTGGGAGGGGGGTGGGGGGGAAGGTGATTTGGACGACTTTTCTCACCCCCCCTCCCTCCTTCTCTCCCTTTTCCCGGCCTTCTTCCCCCCTTCCCCCCTCCCCTCCCCATCCACCCCCCGTTCGTCACTACGTCGGAAGTTTCTTTAATTTTAACAGTGCTATTTGTGCCACTGGGAGGGGGCCAGGGAAGGAGGGGGGGGGGGGGGGGGGGGGGGGGGGGG